GCGCGGAAGTGCAGGGAGCCCGGAGGAGGGGCCAGGTCCCAAAGCCCGCAGGAGGGGGGAAGAGCAGTCTGGGGATTCCGCATCAGAGGAATCCAGGAGGGGCGAAACCCCAGTGGGCAGAAGGACCCTGCGGAAAAGGAAGAAGAGGTGGAGCAGCGCAAGTCTCTTAAATTGGTGCAGGGGAGGAACTGACTCAGAAGGGGACTCCGGCGGTCTAGCGTAAAAGACGTAAGGCTGCGCGCCTAGGATGTCAAGCAAACCATGAACTGCAATAAACACTTTTGTATATAAGAAGACAGAGGCGTTGGTCTTTTGTGAGCTAAGACTTGAGGCAGCCTTGACAATCATCATCTGTGATCCACTCAAATACTGTAATCTATTGTTTTACTTAGGGTTGCCAGATTCCTCAAAGTGAAAATCAAGATAAAATGGTTGAGCTTTTCCTGGTTTTCCCAGACATTTTGCCGATTCAGTGAAAACCCTGCCCCACCCCCCGATGCCATTTTGCTGCCCAATTCCTGGATGTGTCTGGGGAAACCCAGGCATATGGCAACCCTAACTGACACACACAGCTAGATCGGTCTGAAATTCATTGGCCATTTAGAAGATTTAAGGAAGATCGTCTTAACAATCGACTCCCATGGAAACACATCGTTTACCAAACAAAAGGTGGAGCAAGCTTGTTATAATAATAATAATAATAATTTATTATTTATAGCCCGCCCATCTGGCTGTGTTCCCCTAGCCACTCTGCTCTGGAGGGTAGGACTCAAACCAATGGCTTCAAGTTACAAGAAAGGAGATTCTGAGTAAACACCAGGAAGAACTTTCTGACAGCAAGAGCTGTTCAACAGTGGAATGGTCAGTGACGTGCAGTGATTTTTTTCGTAGGAGAACAGTTAGGGCCAGAGGTGCCAGCTTGCAAGAGTGATTGGGAGCGGCAGTGATGTTGTTCCTGTGAGCATCATGCCTCCCTCCTTCTGCTGGGCAGAAGCTTCCCGGAAGGATGTGCCAGGGGAACGTTTAGGGGGCTACCCTAGTCCCCCTAGTCCACTGACCCCATACCACGGCTAGAGTGAGGTCATAGGCAGCCAAGCAACTGTGTACAAAGTGTCAGCCTATGAAGCAGATCTGATACCCACTTAGACAATTATCCCCTTTCCCTCAAAAAAGGACAAAGAAAGGTATTTGCTTGAAGTGGAATGCTCTCCCCAGGGAAGTTCATCTGGCGCCTTCATTATACACCTTTAGGCACCAGGCAAAAACATTCCTTTTTAATCAGGCCTTTGGTTGATCTGATTACATCCTATGCCCTTATAAAATGTGGGGTTTTGGGGAGGGGGGAGTTTATTGGGTTATTGGTTTTATTTTGATTATGTATTTTGTGGTTTCATATTTTGATTTTATTCTGTGAACCACCCTGAGACCCCTGGGTATAGGGCAATATAATAATAATAATAATAATAATACGCGTAAGTGTAAATGTAGAAATACTTACTAGAATTGAAATAGAAATATAATCCATTTCACCACAGTGAGACAAGTGGCCAGGTGACCGATGTACCTTCTTGGTCCAGGTGATGGTCCAGGTGATGAGGCACTCCTAGGCCTCTCCTGCTCTCCCTTGCTATAGTTCTTTAGCTTTAAACATGGCAGCTCTTCAGTCAGATGGTGCCTTCCAATAGAGGTCTGGCCTCCAAAAAGTAGGGCACCAGGGAGTCCTGTGCTTCTCCATTTCCCCCCTCTCTACCTCTCTGGGAGGTTCAGAGAACAGCCTAGTAGAGCCAACAGGACGCCATTTGAAATATTCAGTATGCCTTCACTTCTGTCCTATGTGTAAACGGCAGACTCTGAACGCAGAAGAAAAGGACAGCAATATCGGAAGACCGAAAGCTCCGGGAACAATAACCTGCGGAGGAAGTAGAAAGTGGGGTCAAGGCACGCAGAGCAAGATCCAGAAGCCTCCCCTGTGGCTTTTTCTTTCATTCTCTGAGGCTCCAGAAACGTTGAGGAATCTTACAATCCATTTAATTAGTTACCTGGGGAGCTCAGCATCTACGTGTAGGGCAAACTGTGTGGTGCATGTTTAATTATGCCCCTTTCGTTCGACTGGTTCCAAAGAATAAAAGTGTCTGTGTAAGTTCCGTTGGGGGTCGCTGCCCACATTATGCCATGCATAATGTTCTTGTTATATCCTGTGGGTTTTTTAAAAAAGAAAGACTACGTCTGAAGCGTTCTGCAAATCATGGGGTCTCGGCCCTTCCACAGTTCAGGGGCAAGCCCATGAATTACACAGTTTTCTTCTGCTTCTATATAAGAATGTTATGAAGAGCCATGAACTGCTTCTTCTGGAAGGACAAATGTATGGTGTGGGTGTGACTTGAGTTGGCAGTATATATATTTAAAATAATAAATAACATCGATAAAGCTCGGTCTGCCCTTATCCAGCCCCTCATCTGCCTATCTGGTAACCAGTCAGCTTCCCCCACCTTAGTCTCCTTGTTGTTCTTGTAAACCTCAGCAGGGAGGAAGAGGATGGGGACAAAGTAGAATTGGTTGGCTCCACCTGTCATTGGCTCTGGCGCCACCTGCAGTTGGCCTCCTTGCCTACCAGTCCCAACAGGCACCAGCCATCACTGGTTCACTGAGGAGATGATAAGTCTCTGCCTCAGTGGGTCCTCATTCAGATTGCAGATAGAAGTTAATGTGATTGAATGTGTCTCTATAAAAACAAAGAGAAAACCCATCTTTGAAGATGGCTATCATATCTCCTTCTCAGTCTTCTCTTTTCCAGGCTAAACAAACCCAACTCCCTCAACCGTTGCTCATGAGGCTTGGTTTCCAGACCCTTGATCATCTTGGTTGCCCTCCGCTGCTCATGTTTCACCTTGTCAACATTCTTCTTAAATTTTGGTGCCCAAAACTGGACCCAGAACTTCAGGGGAGCTCTGACCACAGCAGAATAGACTGGTACTATTACTTCCTTAATCTGGGCACTATACTTCTGTTGATGCAGCCTAGAATAGCATACAGAGCTACGGTTTCCAAAATTCCCTGGAAAGAGGAACAGATTGGGAAACCAGTTCAGAAATAGCTGCTCTTGTAGGAGAATAGGGGTCTCCTAACAGCTCTTGCCACCTTTAACAGCCTACAGCTCCCAGAATTCTTTGGGGGGAGCCATGATTGTTTAAGATGGTTTCATAGTGCTTTAAATGTATGACATGAATATGGCCTTCATGAATCATGCTTGATTACTATCTTTTTTGTCAATTGGTATGTGTGGGTGTTCAGACACCCCTGTTCCAGTCCCTATTCCCATTCCCTCTTCTGAGGTCCCAAGGTGTGCACAAACACACTTTCTTCTCCCCATGCCAAAACTTTGGCCATTACTTGACTATTTAGCTGTCACGACTTATGGAGAATTTCAGAAAAATATCATTATTATTGTGCCCTTTATGTACGCTGATCTCCTGCTGCCTTTTAAAATTTCAAAATGATGCAGAGAATATGTAGCTCTGAGGAATTTCTGTGCATTTACTTCAGTTTTTTTTAAAAAAGAAATGGAAAAGATTGTATAGCTTTCTTTCTTTTCCTGGTGAGAATTGATTGCTCTGAGAATAGTTAATACCCCTGAGAGGTTTTTTTAAAGCTTTCATTTCAAATTGCTCCTAACGTTGCCTATTAAAAACACTTTTTAAAAACCCACCGAAACCTTCAGGCCTAGAGAACGGAAATCAATGGTATACCACAGATATTTTCAAGAAAAAGAAAGGTAGTTTTCCCACTTCATTTCCCCCTAGAACTGTAGCTTCACGTCAGGCTCTGAGTTCATATCAAACCGGGGGGGGGGGGTACCAATTGCCTTGTAAACCTCTCCTCCCTCTGACAAAAATTAAGCAAGGCCTGTCCTGGATTTTGCCCAGCATTCGTTTGAATTTGACCTTCCATGATGGAGTTTTGTTTTCATTAGTGTTCTAGCGCAGTTATTTCAGTACCGAAGGAGCCTTATTAATCAATCCATTAATTAATTTCTTATGTTTATATGCCACCTTTTCCCCCAAGGAGCTCAAGGTGGTTCTCCCGCCCCCATTTGATCCTGTGTGAGGCAAGGACTGGCCCAAGGTGAGCTTCAGGAACATGGGCGGGATCTGTGTGGCTGTCAACTTACAGATTTGAAAATAAGGGACCAGCAGCCTCGAAAATAAGGGATCAGCAGCCAAAATAAGGGATTTTCCAACACAGGTATGTTCAACTTCTGAGCCCCTCCAAGCCAAAGGCAGAAAGCCCAGCCAGCAGCCAAATGAAGCGTCAAGCGGTGGTTCCCACAGCGCAGCAACCCGGCAAAGGGGATGCAGCAAGGAAAACCACCGTCACCTCTCCGCTGGGAAGCGCTGAGCAAAGGCGAGTCCCCAGGCAACGTGGCCGATTTGATCAGCACAAGGCATGCAAGCTCCACCCCCCCAGTCATTCTTAGACTTCTTATTGGGTGAGCAACACAGCCAAGCAACACAGTTGGAGCCTCCCTCCTCCCTGGCCGGCAGGGAGGGAGGGAGAGGAGCTGCTTCCTTTGAAACCCAGGAAATTTAAGGGACATCATCAATAAGGGACAGCAGCGGGACACAGCGCTGGGATAAGGGACTTTCCCGCCAAATAAGGGACGGTTGACAGCTATGCCTTTTCCCCTCCTGTGAAAACAATACACACTATGCAACACACTTTTGTTTTAAAGTTTAAAAATAACGCATGACTTTTACTTGGTGTTCTTGTCAGATTGAATGTACAAGACAGGCAGGAAATACTTATGTTACTAAAACATATTTACATGGTTTTGCATCCGAGACTGACTAATATTTGCAGAGCGGCTGAACAGTCGATAACTGAACTAACGGGGGGGGGGACCACCCTCAGGCATATGACATCACAGAATTCTATACTACAACATTAACATTTTGCATAGTATTTAGGAAGCAAGATTCCCACAATCCGAACCTTGTTCTCCCAGGTCAGCACTCTAACCATTACTGTAATGTTTTACTGTTGCTATGGCCATTGGCTAATGTGAATAAAGGTTTATCTCTCTCTCTCTCTTGCCATGCTTAAGGAGTGTTGCTGAATGGAATTGTATTACCTTTAAACCCCAAGATGAACTTTAAGGAGCCACTTCCTAGTCCTGAAATCCTGTGAATTACATTGCCACTCTAGGGAGACTTACCCAATAGGACCTATTTCTGAGTAAGCACGTCTCTTATTACACTGCACATCATATGATACATACGTTCAAACAGTCATTATTTTCTCATCCCTGACCCTGGTCACCCACTGCCCTGTTTCTCCTTATTTGTGCAATTAAAGAATGTCATATTCACATTTTAGGGCAAGTTGTCAGGAGTTGGCATTATCCTGGGGATAAGCTCCCTCCTATCTAGAGAACCCAACTGGGATCTGGGAAGAGAATAACTGGCAGGTAATGGATGCCTCTCGCCTCTCTTGATGTATTTATTTATTTATAACCTTTACTCCACACTGGCCCAGTTCACTGGCCTTATCCACCCTGTTGGATGACTTCTGCTGAGAGAGGTACAAGGGGAACATAGGAGGTGGCCTTATCCTGAGTCAGACCATTGCTCCATGTAGATCAGTACTGCCAATACTGATTGTCAGGGCTTCAGTCAGGGATCTCTCCCAACCCTACCTGGAACTGCATTCCTAATCTGGAGTGCCACAGGTTTCCCCAGCCCTGTTTTAGGGGCAGGTGTGCGAGACCCTCCCCAAACTGCCCTGGTAGGCATTCCTCTCCATACCAATGGCGTCACCTGAAAGTCTGGGCATGTGGTTATTACCGAGCATTTAACCAAAATAAGCCCCCCCCTTTTTTTATTGATAAAACGCAGAGAGCCAAAGGCATCAACAAAAGCAGGCGATTTAGAAAAGAGATCAGTGAAAGGAAAATGTACTTCTAACTTGGCTAGTGCAGCTGCCTCGCTGATAGCTTCACAAGCCAAGATGTGCAACTTAATTACTGCCCTGAAAGACAGGATACTCAAGACAGGATCAGATTAATGGCACGCAGCATCTTCCCAAGATTAGGTGACTTCAGACTCCGGCCAAAGGAGAAAACAAAACGAAACCCTATTCCAGGCAGAATTTTTCCTTAGCATCTCTTTGCAACACCCCTAGACACCAAGCCCCCAGTGGCCAGACAGTCAGGCAGAGGGCTTTGAAGGGCTTCTTCCCAGTGGATATTATGCCCAGAGCCCCTGTCTCCTGCCTGCGATTCTAGGACTAGTAGTCTCAGTCCATGGAAGGGAAAATGATCCACAGGGACCTGAAGTTGCTCATGGTCATTGCCTGGGAAAGGGGGTAGCAAAGGAAGTGGAGGGAGATGGCCAGATGAGAAAAAGGGCTCCTTCAAGAGTTGTATATAAGAGAGAGACTCCTGCAAGGGGAGGTGGACATATAGGAAAATCACCCCCCAAACCAGTATTGTGATTTCCTCTCACCCCAGCAGGGGTGGGGACAGGATGAAAGAAAAGGGAGCGTTTTGGAGACTCTCTGCAGCTGCCACCTGGGCTCGCTCGTCAACGGTTCTGATAATCAAGATGCTTCTCTTCCTTAATTTATAACTAGTATCTTGTAAACTTTGGCTCGACCTTGCGTTTCGCACTGCCTAGCAAAGTGCTCAGCCCAGCCCAACTTCATGCAGCCTCACAGTTTAGGGGAGTTAGAACAATAAAACAAGGAGTTAAAACAATAAATTAAAACAACAAAACGAAGCACTAAAAGGAGTTAAGAAATAAAATGGAAGAGAGGATAAAAACAAATGCTAAGGGTTGGTTATAGAGCAGAAACTTGCCTTAGAGTTGGCCTTAGAGCTCAAAACTCTGCTTCAAGCATTCGGCAGCCATCTTCCCCTCCCGAAAAGGCACCTTCCTATTTTCCTAGCTGTGTGGGTCGTAGTGCACTTGACAACTGTAACCTGTTACAAACCTGATATGTTTCCCCCCAAGAATTCTAGAAATCATGAAATTACGACCGTGGTCTTTCTCCTTCCACATTAACAGGGAAACTCACTCACCTTGCCTTGGCCTGGCCTGGTTGTGAGTTGTGGCAGTAGCAACAAAGCAAAGGCCACATTATTGGTGGCCTGCTCTGCAGGGCTGGCGCTAGGGCAAGCAGGGATGACCCATCTGCACAGATGACGCCTAGCAGAGAGCATTGTGATGAGCGCCTCTCAACCCTCTGATGTCATGAATATCTTTATGTCAAATGCCTTTATGACAAGAGTTATAAAAAACCCACCCCACGCTAGGTTCTTTCTTGGCCCCTTTACACCTGAGGTGCTCCTGGCCACTTCTGTTTTCACTCACTTATGAGGAAGAGGTAGTTCTGAGCGCTTATTGCTAAGTGCCAGTAAGAGATCTCTGAGTCACAACATTTCCCCGTCTACCGTATTCTAAGCCATGTTCCATAAAGTGTTCCATGTGGCTATTGGCCATTATAATCTCTTACTGCCAGCAAATCACAGATGGCCCGTTGTACTTGCTATTAAAAGTAACCATCCACGAACGAGGCCAGAGTGGCATGAACGTTTTATTGGGAGAGCTAAAAAATAATTGCATATTTCATGTAAGCAGGCATTTGGACTGCCCTTCAGAAGACTCCCTTAGTTTGAAAGAGGAACAGGGGGTGGGGAAGAGGGCAGTGGTGCTTTCCTTTTCGTGCCTTGTTCCTTCCATCCTTTCCCAATGGAAGTGGCCCTGCCACTTGAAGAAGGGTCGTAGCTCAGTGGTAGAACATCTGCTTTGCATGCAGAAGGTCCCAGGTTCAATCCTTAGCATCTCCAGGTATGGCTGGGAGAGAACCCTGCCTAAAATCCTGGATAATCCTTGCCAGTCAGTGTAGACAGGTGGGCTCAATGGTCTTGAGTTGGTAGAAAGCTTCCTGTGCCAGAAACAGAGGGGTATTTAGAGAGGGGCAGTGGCAAGGCAAAGAACGCCTGATACTGGAGGAGGAGGATTAGCGAGCTTCCTTGCGGCTGTCCAGCCAGGCAGGTGTTATCTGTCTCTACACAGATATGGGGCTTCTTCGACACCTGGCCTGCCATGCCAACTGTGCTGGGCCCGGGGGTAACCCTGAGCAACCGGTCCAGGTCCGGTCCCGAATCCAAGGATTCCGTGAGGAGTAAGTCCAACAGGGCCAAGGCAAGTCACAAGGCAGGAAACCAGGCTGGGTCAGGCACAGGGTCTCAGGTAGGAAGCGGCAATGTTGCTCCTGAAACCTGGGGTGGGGTCCGACAGCCTTTTATCTCTGTTAGGGTAATGGCCGGTCCTGGTCCCCTGGTGACTCACCTCCCTGTCTTGCTCAAAGGCGAGCACTCCTCCTGCGAGTACTCAGGTCTCTCCTTCTCTCAGATCTCAGTCTCTGCAGCTCAGGAGACGTCGGTGGGTTACTAGACCCAGAGGCCGCCTCAGCCTCCCCTGACCCAACCGGTAGTGGAGCAGCTGTAAGTGATGGCCCAGCTGAAGGCAACGAGGTAATCCCTGCATCTGGAGCCAGGGCAGGCTCAGGCCCCTGACTTGGCCCAGCTGGTGCTTGTTGTAGGGGAACCTGTGCAGACTGGGGTTCTTCAGAATCAAGCCCCAGACTCAGTTCAGATGCCCCCTGAGGCAGAGGATCCGGTGCAGACTGAGACTCCTCTAGTTCCGAGTCCGAGCCTGAGTCCCAGGCCATCACACCAACAATGTCTCTTGCAGACTTCATGATACAGTGGTGCCCCACAAGACGAATGCCTCGCAAGACGGAAAACCCGCTAGACGAAAGGGTTTTCCGTTTTTCAATGCGCTTCACAGGACGAATTTCCCGATGGGCTTGCTCCGCAAGACGAAAATGTCTTGCGAGTCTTGAGATTTTTTTTCGCTCCCCCCCCTTTTTCTAAGCTGCTAAGCCTTTAATAGCCTTTTAGCAGCTAAGCCGCTAAGCCGCTAAGCCTTTAATAGCCGCTAAACCGCTAATAGCGCTAATCCGCTAAGCCGCTAATAGGGTTGCTTCGCAAGACGAAGAAACTGCTAGACGAAGATACTCGTGGAACGGATTAATTTCGTCTTGCGAGGCACCACTGTACGTGCAAAGCTTAAAAAGAAAAAAAAGGGGGGAGAGGCTACGCTTTTTATTACTGGGACTTCAGCAGCCAGCCCTGGCTGTGCAGGTTCTCACTTCCTCCAGTTGTCATGAGGTAAATCCAGGCAGATGACATGGCACTGTGGGTAGTGATGCTATACACCTGTTCTGAGCATGCTCAGGCACATTTCTGGAAGCTAGGCCCCAGGACTGATTTCTGCCCTGATCAGCCTTGCTCTTTGATTATTTTCATTTCACTAACTTGCCCTCTTGTGTAGGCAAGCACAACTGGACACACTGAGAGTATATTCCTTGTAATATATATATATATCGCGCCTTTGGCTTAACCCTGTAGTCGTCATCCTCCCCAGATGAAGTCTAATATAAGTACATTCAACTGCATTTGCTATCCTTGTTCCACTTCTCTCCTTCCATCAAGTATATATTCCACCAAATGCTGCCACTGCCTCTGATCCTGCAAGTGACCAAAAAGTGATACCACAGAAAGCCTTATCCTCCGTCAGTTTGTCTAAGCCCCTTTTAAAACCTTCACACCAAACCTCTTGCAGGAGCAAATTTCATATTATAGCTACACTCTGTCTAAAGAAATAACCCCCTTTTTCATCTGTACCAATCCTTCCACCGTTCAGCTTCCTTGGATAGTTTCTGGTATTATCAGGAAGGGAACAGACCCTCAGGTTGTGTGATGGGTCCGTGTGCCTGGATGTTAAGCTGAAGGTTAGTGGTTCAAGTCCCTCCAGAGACAGCTGTGGGCAGGATTCATGCATTGCGGCGGGTTGGGCTAGATGACCCTCAGGGTCCCTTCCAACTTACAGTTCTGTGATTCTGTAATAATGCTGGGATATTAAGCTTCTCACCTAGTGCCAGGACCTTAAAAGCCTGGGAGAATTCATGTGATGGGGAGGACATGTCGGAAGGAGAGAAGAGGGACAAGGAGAGCAAATGCAGTTGATTGTACTTATATTAGACTTTATCTGGGGCGGATGACAACTAAGGAGTTAAGCCAAAGGCTTTTAGGGAAAAGGTGAATATCCAAGAAAGAAAAGGAGCCTGCACCACAGAGGTGCAAATAACCTAATACTTTGTCCTTTCCCCTGATCTGTTATGCAACGGTACTTAGTTTGGAACCATAGATAGCCAACAAAATGTGGAACATTTTGAAGTAATTTACCATTGTCCCGAGGCCTTGGAGGGTGGCATGCGAGCTGCCAAACAAGATTTGACTAGCTGATTTCAGCTGCAAAGGGAGGCATGTATAGCCTTCTAAGGAGAAAGGCTTGAAAGGAAAGGTTTCGGGAGGGGAGGAGGGCTCGCCCCTGGAAAACACAAAGAGCTGAATCTGAGCTGGCTGTTGTGACTCTCAAGCAGGCGTGGACACAGATTGCTGTTAGGCGCGTTTGGCAACCCCTCCAGGTTAGACCCATAGCAAGAACATAAGGAGAGCCTGCAGGATGAGGCTGGTGGCCCATCTAGTCCCACATCCTATTCTCACAGCGGCCAACCAAGTGGGAAACCTGCAAGCAGGACCTGAGAACAAGAACGTTCTCCTCTCCTGTGGCTTCAAGAAACTGGAATTCAGAAGCACTGCTGCTGCCAACTGTGTAGGCAGAGCATAGTTATCATGGCTAGTGTAGCCATTGATAACTTTCTCCTCTGTGGATTCACCCAGTACAGTGGTACCTCAGGTTACATACGCTTCAGGTTACAGACTCCACTAACCCAGAAATATTATCTCGGGTTAAGAACTTTGCTTCAGGATGAGAACAGAAATTGTGCTCCGGCAGCGCAGCAGCAGCAGGAGGCCCCATTAGCTAAAGTGGTGTTTCAGGTTAAGAACAGTTTCAGGTTAAGTACGGACCTCCAGAACGAAGTAAGTACTTAACCTGAGGTACCACTGTACTCTTTTAAAGCCATCTAACTTGGTGGCCTTCGCTGCCTCCTGTAAGCCTGTAAACCAAATGGACTGTAAATTATCAACTTAATTTGTATTATGTACTAAGAGTACATTCATTTGAAAAAAAGGAATATACAATGGGATAGACAGGAAGTCCAAAGTGTTGGTATATATATGATTTTGGAATAGTTTTTTGCCCTTGTTTTTTTTTCTTCTTCTTTTTCTTTTAGTATCTAAACTTTGTATACATGCTGAAAATTATAGTATAATAAGCCTTGTGATGTAATATGATGATGTTTACCGATGTAACATAAGAACTTTAATAAATAAATAAAATTCAATATATATATATAATAATTTGTATTATGTACAACTGGGACCTGCAACAAAATGTTGCAGCATATCCTCCTGGGCAGGAGTGTTCCTGTTCAAGGTTTCTGCCTGCCAGTCCATTTCCCTTCCCATTCCTTCCTCTCTCTTCTCCAGTTTCCTTTCATTTTCCAACTGATGATCAACATTCCATAGCTGCTCAGTCCTCGCTAGCCTTGTGGGCCATGCTTTGTCTCCTTTGTTTGGCTTGTACTTTTGCAAACCTTTGGATTACCCGAGAGAGCGTGCTGATACCTCCCTCTTGTTGCTTAGGGGCTTATTTTTTTGGCCACAGTCCTATCGGCACTTGCCACCTGCGCTTGCTGTTAGAAGGAGTGCTATTGTCTTCAGCTATGGGGGGGAAATGGCCTTACAGGTTCCCTCACTGATCGTGGCATACACCAAAAAAATATTTTAGTTAGGCTTCCAACAAATCGTAGAATTGTAGAGTTGGAAGGGACTCTGAGGGACATCAAGTCCAAGCCCCTGCAATGCAAGGAGCTCAGCTAAAGCATCCATGACAGGTGGCCCTCCTGGCAATGGCCTAGGGCAGGAATGGATAACCACTGGTTGCTGGACTTCACTTCTATCATTCCCAGCCAGCATGGCAATGATCTGGGATGATGGAATTTGTGGTCCAGCAATAGCTAGAGAACCACAGGTTCCTCATCTCTATAGTCTAGTGTTATGTACTGAGTTGAATAGGATCCAAAAGGCAGCAGTCTGATTGGTCCTAGAACAATAGGATTCAGAATGCAGCAGTCTGATTGGTCCTAGAACAATAGGGTCCAGAATGCAGCAGTCTGATTGGTCCATAGGAGCCACCCAATCCAGCTCCAGGTGGAAGTGAATCCGCAACCTGATTGGCCTACAGGTGAATCCCGGAATTAGCCAGTCACGTGGGGCCCATTGTGTAAATAATGTATATAAAGCAGACATTCTGGGGGAACTTCCATTCCTCCTCACCACCATGAGCTGAATAAGGAGCATGAAATCCACTCTTGACTCTGAGTATATTTCCTCTAGGTTTGTGCCAGGTGCAGATAGTAGGGATTGAATCTGGGGTCCTTTCTGAGCAAAGTGTATTCTGCAGCCCATCTACATGGCCCCTCCAATGAGATGCTACTTTATCTGAAAGCTTTAGCAGATGACTGGCCGTTGATATAAACTGGGAGGCATTCAAAAGGTTTGAAAGTCTAATCCATATACATATGGGATGCTTTGAGCTGGAGGATGCAAATATCATCAGCGCTTTCAGGTTGTTAATGTTGCTAAAAGAAGATTAGTGGCAGAGGAGAATGTACTCTTTCAAGAACATTGGAAACATTCTAATCAAATAAATGCAGCGTGGAGCTGAGTAGCAGCAGTCCTATGCAGAATGTTCCTACCATGGCTATGATGTCAGTACAGTTTGGGATTCTTCATCAGAAGGCAATGTTCTTCTTGCTGCAAAGAAGTGCTCTGGTTGTTGTCTTCAACTCCTGCCACCCTGGAGGCACACATGTCTGTCTAAAGGGACAGACTAACTGTGTTGAATCCTCAATGAGCCCCAAAGGAATACATTGGGAGAACACTTGGAAGAGGGAGCTGTGGAGACCTTAAAGCTCACCCCACAAATATTCAGCTCAGCTCTAGTCCGCTCTTTCTTTGAAAACCTCAATGGAAGGAGATTCTAGGCCCTCCTTCAACAGCCCATTCATTCTGCTGCCAAATCCATTCATCATTAGGTGATGCTTGCAACGCTTGCCTTCGCAAGATTCCTACAGCACAAAGAATAATGGCTGCAATTTCTTAAAGCAAGCAGAATTCTAACAGAAAGTTGGCGTGACTAGCAGAAGCTCATTCTCATCCTATTCAAGGGAATGGATGAACCAGGCAGGGCAGGCCAAAGCAAAAGAGAAGGATGGGCTGTATTTGCCAAAGAGAGAAATGGAGAGAAAGGAAAATCCCTTGCCAAAAAAAAAAAACTGGATACCTGTTGATGTCCCTCAAGCTGGAACTGAGCACAAGGGCACTCTCCTCCCCTGGTATTCAGAAGCACAATGCCACCAAATGTGAGCGCTACCCCATCAGATAAGGGACCCCTGACCATTAGGTCCAGTCGTGGCCGACTCTGGGGTTGCGGCGCTCATCTTGCTTTACTGGCTGAGGGAGCCGGTGTACAGATTCCGGGTCATGTGGCCAGCATGACTAAGCCACTTCTGTCAAACCAGAACAGCGCACGGAAACATTGTTTACCTTCCCGCCAGAGTGGTACTGTGCCTATTTATCTACTTGCACTTTGACATGCTTTCGAACTGCTAGGTTGGCAGGAGCAGGGACTGAGCAATGGCAGCTCACCCCGTCGTGGGGATTCGAACCACTGACCTTCTGATCGGCAAGTCCTAGGCTCTGTGGTTTAACCAACAGCGCCACCCATGTCCCACCCCATCCGATAACTCAGTTCAAATGCCGGTATCAGCCTTCCCAACATGGTACCCACCAGATGTTTTGGACCACACCTCCCATCACCCTTGACCATAAGCCATGCTGGTTGGGGCTGATAAAGGTTGTAATCCAACAGCACCTGGAGGGCTACAAATAGGTCTATACCACTGCATGATCAGGTGTAAATAAAAGACAAGGGAGGGAGAGTAATTTCAGCTTTTAGAACCCAGAAATTACTTAGTGTTTGTTCCTTGTGCTCAAACTTAAAATGCTCCATCACTGCACTGGACAATGGCCTTTAGAAGAGTGCAGTTTAATTCTGTACAGTAATGCCTAGGAGAAGGAAAGCCTAGGGACTAAACCCTACTCCAGAGTAGAGTCCTTAAGATGGTTGGACAGCGCCTTGTACGCTTCCTTTGTGCAATTCCTGCAGCCAAGCTGTTGCCAAATGTATTGCTCTGCTTTCCTTTGGACTACATCAGCAAGGCTGAGAGCGGAGTTTTGTTGCCTGGGCAGTCCAGGACCTTCACACACACTGCCCAGGTTTGTGTCCCAGAGATATCACTTTGGTGCAGTTTGACTTCACCCCCAAGGTGTACTCCATTGTCTCTTGAGACAGATGGACGTCAACAATGGATACATTTCAAGGATCACACCTAAAGCTAAAATCACGTCTAGTCAAACCCCATGGGGTTCAACAGCGGGTGCCGTTGCTGAAGTCATTTTTCCCATAACCCCACCCCTTTTAAATCTGTGTTGTTATTTTTTTGTCACATGTGTAAAGTGGAATGCACACAAGTTAAATGAGCATAAATTGCGGGCTTACTGTATAACCAAAAGCTTTTGCATCTACATATACAAAACTTGGGAACTGCTAACCATTTCTTTTTCTTTCTTTCTTTTTGTACTGCACAAGTTAAGTGCTTCACCTATAAATCTACTATTGTGCTGTTTTCTGTTAATGATTTGTTCAGCTCATTTATCTTTCATCATTCATTTTTAAATCATCCACCCTGCAAATTGGCATTGGTTAATTCATGTCATTGACTGTGGCAACTGAAAAAAGAATGGGCAGCTGCAAACGTTTTAGTATGAGCTCTCTCTTGGGTGTAGCCTTATCTTCACTGCCAAAGCTCTGCTTGGCCTTACCTCTCTCATCTCTCCACCCTTAAATCCAATGACCTTTCCCCCTATGACCTTCACTCTTCCAGCTTCACCC